GAATAAAAAATATGAATTTTGATATATTTAATATAATATTCGATAAAAAATAGCTTTCTAAAAATCAAAAAAAACAATATATATATATATATATATATATATATATATATATATATATATATATATATATATATATATATATATATATATGTTTTTGGGTATATTAAGGTCATGATTATCATAGTTTAAGGAAACATAGGAAACATGTTTGGTTGGAAAACACATGTGTATTCGTTATCCATTTCTGCCGGTACGCCTAAGTGTTTTGCGGTAAAAAAATTGTGTGGCTGAGAATGATTCATTCATTCTCAATTTTTTTTCTCAATTGAACCATCCTCTCTCTCTCTCTCACCCTCTCTCTCTCCTCTCTCTCTCTCTCTCTCTCGCTCCTCTATATATATATATAATAGATATATATATTATATATATATATATATATCTATATATAATAATATATATATATATATATAATATATAGTAGTAGGCTACCGCGCGATGCGGCGGCACGAGCTAGTTCCTCTCGACATATAGTTTCCACTCGGAGATTAGTTTTATTTTGACGGTGGAAAGTTTCTTTCGATCTTTTGGTAGATTGTTTTTTGCCACATAGTTCCTTTCCGCAGATAGTTTCTGGCTACGTTCATGACATTGCAATGCTGTTTGCGGCAGATAGTTTGTGCATTATGTGATTATACCTCCAGCTTATAAATTTAGACGATAAAATCTCATTTAAATTTTAATATTATTTAATTTATAATTGGTTGTACATTAAGCTTAAAGTCTTGAACGTCTTAAAAAATATTATTATTATATTGAAGTTATTTTTAGAAATAGTGAGATTTCTTTTATAATATATATATATATATATATATATATATATTATATATATATATATCTATATATATCTATTATATATCAAGGTTGTAAAAATCGTTTGACGGTAGCTCGACGGTCGACTGGTGTTAATGGATTAATCGGTCTTGGCGGGGATTAATCGAAGATTAATCGAAGACCATAGATTATTAATAAAATATTAAAATTAATTAAATATTAATATATCTTAAGAAAAACAAATACTTCAAAATTAAAAAATAAGAAAAATTGTAATTTGGAAATACGAAAATATGAACATTTTGGTATAATATTTGAAAATTTGAAAATTTTGGAGTAAAAAAAAAGTTGGTTTTTTTAATTTTTTAAAAAAAATTTAAATTTTTTTTGACCTTTTTTGACTTTTTTTTTAATTTTTTTGACTTTTTTGACTTTTGTTGACCGATTAATCACGCCGAGGCCGATTAATCCCACCAAACCCGATTAATCATAAATTTCCGATTAATGCCCTAATCCTCGACGGTTGGAGAACGCCAAGCGATTAATCGCCGATTAATCGCCGATTAATCCCGATTTTTGCAACCATGATATATATATATATATATATATATATATATATATATATAGATATAATATCGATATATAATATATATTTAAAAATGAAAATGATCGGAACTAAAAATAATAAGTATATAAGATAAGGGTTCACAAATTTTAAAATTTTATTTATATCGTGAATGGTGATATGTTTTCGTTTAATGATATGATGATTGATCATTTTGATATGTACGTACATCAATTTGGGTGTGATTAACAACCTCCACAGTAATCTCGTTAACTTTATTTTATTTTCTTTTTTGTTATAAAAACCATATTTTATTTACAATAAATCCGAAAATGGTATTTAAATACTAAAAAATATCCCTGTTAATTTTATTTATAATATTTCCCTAAGTACATCATAAAAATTAAAATTCATAATTTTTTACCTCCAAACTTAATACCCGTGAATAACGAATCCAATAAATTAGATATTGTAATTTCCATTTTTTGCTAGGGATAATGACTTGAAAGGGTAACGAACTTTCGAATTTGTTCACATTTAGTCACTAAACTTTTTTTCGTTGTATATTGGCCACTGAACTATTGAAATTGTTCATATTTTACCCTTATGACCGGTTGTTACCGGTCATAAGGGTAAAATATGAACAGTTTCAATAGTTCAGTGGCAAATACATAATGAAAAAAAAATTAATGACTAAATGTGAACAAAATCAAAAGTTCGTTTCCCTCTAAAAAAGTTCAATGACTAAATGTGAACAAACTTCCTCTTGTATTATGTTTTTGTAAATTATTTATTTTTGTTAAATTCTAGCAACATTTGTTGATGAAGAAACCTATGAAATAAAAAAAAATACCCGAAAAATATATTAAAAAAAACGAAAAACCGAAACCGAAATAAAAAACCAATGATTTGGTATTTTCCAAAAAAAAAAAAATCAAAATTCCAATCTGATTTTGGTTTTACAAAAAAATGAACCATTCTCACTGATGTGAATTATGACCATTGGTTTGGCATGCGGAATTAAAGAACACACAAAGAACATGGTGATTTGGATGTTTAAGAGATGCATTCAATTATGAAAGGTGATTTGGATGTTTGTGAAATTTTGCTTCGTTCACGGACCGCCTTTGACAAAATTTCACAAATTTATAGCCTTGTGACATGAGATATATATATATATATATATATATATATATATATATATATATATATATATATATAGAGAGAGAGAGAGAGAGAGAGAGAGAGAGAGAAAGAGATAGAGACATGTAAACACTTCTATATAAGGTGGGTTCATACCACATGTAGAGGTGTGCTTGAAAGATGTAACATTGAGAGTGTTAGTGTGTTTTAATTATGTAGATTTAGATCTAGATAATTTTTTGTAAACATCTTTCATAATGGAATGCATCTCTTAAATATCCAAATCACCGTGTTCTTTGTGTGTTCTTTAATTCCGCATGTCAAACCAATAGTCATGATTCATATCAGTGAGAATGGTTCGTTTTTTTGTAAAACCAAAATCTGATTGGAAATTTTGATTTTTTATTTTGCAAAATACCAAACCATTGGTTTTTTATTTTGGTTTCGGTTTTTCGTTTTTTTTAATATATTTTTTGGGGTTTTGTTTTTTTTATTTCATAGATTTCTTCATCAACAAATGTTGCTAGAATTTAACAAAAATAAATAATTTGCTAAAACATAATACAAGAGAAAGTTTGTTCACATTTAGTCATTGAACTTTTTTAGAGGGAAACGAACTTTCAATTTTGTTCATATTTAGTTACTAAACTTTTTTTTTTCATTATCTATTTGCCACTGAACTATTGAAACTGTTCACATTTTACCCTTATGACCGGTAACAACCGGTCATAAGGGTAAAATGTGAACAGTTTCAATAGTTCAGTGGCAAATAGATAACGAAAAAAAGTTTAGTAACTAAATGTAAACAAAGTCGAAAGTTCGTTACCCTTTCAAGTCATTATCCATTTTTTCTATAACAACGGGCTAAGCATTCTCTTTGGACTAATAAAGTTGTGGTCTAACTACTTATCAAACCCCAATAAATAATTTTATTTTAATTTTACAAAATCAATAAAAGCCCAACTCCATTTATTTTTCATTTACATAAAGAGATAAAATTCAATAATACATATTATCAATATCATATGATTTTATTGGCTTTTCCAAGAAAATTATCTACTTCATTCTTGAAGTTTTGAACGTTTCAAAAGTTTCATGTTTACGCTTAATCAGAAAATATAACTATGGGCGTGTTCGGCATAGATGTTTGAAAGCGTTTGAGAACTAGTTTTTGGCGTTTGACAAAACGTTTCGTTTTAAACATAAAGTCCTGTTTCACACTACAAACTTCTAACATTTAGTTTAAACAAAACACTCCAAATCCAAAAACTACTTCACGTAGCATTTAACAAAACACTACCAGCTATCCGCGCCGAACACACCGTATATCTAATGAACTCATCAGTAGACAAATCAAAAGCCTATAATTATAGAACTCTGTCTTCTCTTAACCATTAAAAGTTTGGAATTATTGAGCACTGAATGACTCAGTTTTATTCCACAACCCTAACCCTAAATTCCTGGGCTGAACAAATCAAGGTGATGAGGAAAGAACTTAAAAGAACCTGGGAATAAGCTAATTGTCTCGCCTTTAGGAAATTTCTTATGATCGTGTATGTTGCCTTAGGAAATTTCTTTTGATTATTTTCCTTTTGACAGTTTTTTTCATACTTGCACTCCATTAGCCGCATTCTTTGGATTATTTTCACTACCCTTTTGCTCTTTAACAGGTGTGTCCCATGATATAGTGTCACTTCATCTTCCTTTCTAACACAGGAACCATTTTTTATAACTTTCTTTCTTACAAAAATTTTAACACAAAAAGAGAGCTTGGTTTTCATGATACATTGGCATGATGCTTTGGGAGTAATGTTTAGAAGATCGTAGTCTTTAACAGTTGCAAATTTTTACTCTTGTTTTCCTTCTCCATGTCACACCACTTTCCTATATCTAACATGAAATTTCTTTGAAAAATCCTTTGTTGTAACTTGCTCTTGATACCAGAAAAAAAAAACAAAATTTGAACAAACTATGAGCTACCCAGATAGATACTTAGTTGTACCTTATGCTTAAGTTGTAGTACTTCATGCTTAGATACTCAGACTTTGTGCGTAAATAGTTTTATTAAACAAAAATGAACCCAAATGTGCCAAGTATAGGAATTAGGGCATACATATATGGTACCAGAATTTTTGGGGTTTGATTATAAAGAAAAACTAATCTCAGACTGCAATTGTTACAAATTTTAACAATTGGACTTGATACATACAGAACATCTTTATCTGAAAAAAAGAAACGTTCTTTATTGATAGAGCATACAGACATTTATCCATTCAAAACTCAATGGAAAAAAGAAGCAACACTCAAAGGCCTTGTAATATGATTCTTACAAATAAAAAAAATATAAGAAACGCCTACATGTTACGCCCGGTATCTATTGAGATAATCCATAAATAACTTAATCATACATGTGAACAAAACAACAAACTATCAAAAGTATTTAACTATAAAATCCGAATTATCACCAATAATCATTACAAGAACATACTCCATTTTCAAAATGATGAAACCTCTTTGCATCACGTGCAACGATTAATCTTCCAACCAGCTTTGAAATAATCTTGAGAGCCTCATGGCAATCACCACAAACACGAAGATTTTTCATTATCCGTATTGTTGCACGGGGTGGACTAGTCAAAAGAGCTTGAGATAAAGCAAGTCTTTCACTATGTGATAAAAGAGCTTCTTCTCTACTTTCATGGTCTAAATCATGGAGTACAAATCTAGTCTGTGCCACATACCCGACTTCTATCATGTGTTGTTTTAGACACCTAAGTTGACTGTATAACTTCTCATGATCAGCTTGAGATGTATCCCCAGCCCTAAACTGAAAAGTTTTGGCTTTGATTTCTAGGAGATTTAATGGTGCTGATTTATTTTTTTCTTTTGCAATATCCGAAGGCTTTATTGGTATCAAGCCTTTCTCTGATTGTTTATCTAAATGAGAAGGGTCTAGAAAGTTTACAATCTTAGCACAACGATCTTCGAGTTCTAAATCACCATAAACCCTAGATTGATTCATCATAATTTCCCAAATTTCTACACTTGGGTTCATGGGCATCTTTTCTATGAATTCCAATGCTTCATTTAAGTACCCTGAACTCCCGAGCATATCGACTACACTTGCATAATCATCCATAAATAGAACAAGATTGTAATTTTTAGTCATTGATTCAAAGTGTAATAGCCCTTCTTTCATGTCTCCTACGACACTACATGCAGCAAAAACACCATCAAACATCTGATTATCGGGTTTTAATCCGATCTTTTTGAACTCGGTGAACATTTCGAGTGCGTCTTCTCCATGGCCGTTTTTAGCAAGCCATGTTATCATTGTGTCCCAAGAAGTAAGATTTCTTTGGGGCATTTTATCGAACACCTTATATGCGTCTTCCATGGAACCACATTTCGAATACATTTCCAAGATTTTGTTGCAAATGTGAACATCAAGATGATGTACTGACCTTGTGAGGTGGTTATGGACTTGTTTAGCTTCTTTAAGTGCCTGAGTTTCTCCGCATGCTTTCATCAAGAATAGATATCCAGGCATTTCAACTGTTACTTTCTTCAGCTCAAGCATACGCAAAACCTCCACAGCTTCCTTCAATTTCTGTTCCTTGCAGAAAGCATTAAGCTCCTCAATCGTGCCAAGTAGTTGCTTTTCCTCACCAGGTTCATATAAATTTTCGTTAGGTTGAGAGTCAATTGGCACTTCATAATTTACCAAGCCACTACTCTGTTGAGTACTTGAAGCATTACCACCATAAGATCCATTGATGTTATATTGGCACTGTCGATGTAAACCATCTTTACCCATGTTATAATTACCTTGATTTCCTTGAACAATTCCATTATATTTTCGATATTGATCATTTCCACCTCCTATAACTTCTTTTGATACTCCACTATTCATCCAATATGAACTCTGGACATTTCTACCTTCTTCATATAACGTATTTGAACTCTGTTCCAATATCTTATTCTCATAATTTCGATCACAGTTAGGTTTTTTCTGGACAACCAAGGGATTTTTTCTATAAACCCTATCAGGGTTTTGGTCAAATTGATTATTACTGTCTCTAATTGACCAATAATTACCATATCCACTTGAGTTTTTGACATTAGCTGGAAACTCGTTAGGGTTTCGGAAATGAAAGCTCTCATCGGCAGCCGCAGAATTGAGAGTGCTAAAGCTTTTAACAAAAGAAAGGGCTTTGAAGAAACTAATTGAGAAATAACTGCGTGAAGCACTTGTACCATTGCATACCTTATAGAGATAATTTAGAGATTTCACCATTTCGAATGACCTCGCTCTAGCTTGAGACATGCTTTAATCGTTGAAGTTAATAGTGAGGCATAAAATCGGCGTCCAGTGTGATTTTGGTGGCGGCCGAGAGGGGAGCAATGGCTGAGGGAGGGTCCGGTACACCCTAAATGTCTAAAAACGAGCTCAAACTCTACAACTGCATCTGGTTAAGTGTGATTTTGTAGTTTTGGTCCATCAAACACTTGAATTGACTGTTTTGCCCTTTAAATTTCTTTTCTGTATTTTTTTTATATTTTTTATTTTGTAAATATTAATACAAAAAAAGGAATTATGTTGGCCCACCCCATAACCTCTCTCTCTCTCTCTCTCTCTCTCTCTCTCTCTCTCTCTCTCTCTCTCTCGGAACACCAACCATTTCATCTTCGCCGATGAACTCCCCCACCTCCAGTAGTTTGCTTCACCCAAATATAGATTTACAAAATAAATTGAACTAGATTTACAAGAAGTCAGTTGTGCTAATTGTAGAATGGAAATGGTCTTTTGTTCATGTTTTCTAGTACTGGTCTTGCTTTCTTCTGAAAGAAACCCATCTGTTCTAATCTCCTTACTTCCATTAAACACATAAACCTTAGGGATTTTCCTACAAAAATCCCTCTTTTGCATTTTCAAGCTCTCTGCAAACCCTAGACATGCTACTTACGATTCTTTGTTTGAATTACAACAACGAAGAGGTCCCGCCATTTCTCAATCTGCGTAGAGAACCAATCTGCTTCTCCTCTCAACCTCATCTTGCCTTGCTTTCTGTTCAACTTATACAAATAAAAAAGGGAGTGTCTTCAACTCAAAACACACACACATGCACACCTGCAACTAAAAACACACACACACTAAATCAGATTTTCAAGATTTGTAAATGTATACAAGAATCAAAGCAACTTTCCAGAATAATTGAACTCAAATGAAGAAGTTGATGATTGCTATGAGGTTCAGATGTTATGGTTTTATAAATCCACTTGATTGGCCGCCTGGGTTCAATAGACACACGACGAGAAAGAGGAAAAGAGGAAGCACTTGAACGACCTCATCAAAGAATCGAACCCAACTTCATCCCACCCTCTTCAGTGTCAGACCTTGAGCTCTGCTTCAGGGTAGCTTGAACGAACTCATCAAAGAAAAGAAGAAATAGTCAAAGATAGATAAAGAAAGTCAAAGAGATAGAGGGATAAAGAAGGGAAGGGTATGGATGAAGGGTGTGGGATAGGGGATTTTTTAACTATTAAAATATAAAAGAAATAAATAAAATGTAAAAAAGAAATAATAAGGGCAAATACTCCTTTCAACTTTTTTAGGACCAAAATCACAGAAAAACCTTGATTTTGGACCTTCCATGCAAGTCGAAAACTTTTTGGACCCTATCCATAATTTTTTGAATACTACAGGGACCAATTTACAGTTTTGTCTTTTATTTATTTATTTATTTATTATTATTATTATTATTATTATTATTATTATTATTATTTTGTCACAAATGTCGTTTAGGAGGTTTTGAGTTAATCTCAGATAACCTTCCCACCCGTTAAACAATAAACCTATATAAAAAAAACCAATGTCTTTCTTCATCATTTATGTAGCCCAAATTCATTTTCTTCGTCATTTATGTAGCCCAAATTCATTTTCTTCATCATTTATGTAGCCTAAATTCATTGATTCATAACTACACGCAACAATGACATCTTTATCTACAAACTCAGCAACTTCACGCACAAGATTGAAACCAGTTGTTAAATGCTATTGTGGTGATGTCTGCTCCATATTAGTGATAAGGATACCAGACAACTCGGGTAAAAGATTTTGTGATGCCTTAATTTCAAGGTAATTTGCAATTCATCTTAAACTGAAATGAAATCTATTACTAAGGTATTATGGTTGTGATTACACATTCTTGTTTCATATTCTTAGGGTTGTAATTACACATTCATGTTTCATATTATTTTCCCTTTCAATTTGTAGGACTCTTCAAGGTGCCATTTTTTCAGATGGGTGGATGAAGGTGGGAAAAAAGCTATTGAGCAACAGGACCAACTGATGAGTCTATTAAAGACAGTTGTAGGGTTGTTAACATATATTGCATTGTTAGTTTCACTTTTTGTCATCAAAATGTTATTTAAGCAGTGTACTTTTGCAATGTGCTCGGTAATGTTACGTACTAGTGTTATTATGAATTGTTATCCCTATATTGAAAGTATATATTTTGTAATTTGCAAGGTGGGAAATGGTAATCCGATGGTAATCCATTTGTATAGCCTTTGAAATTTGGTTTGTGCAATGTGGCAAATGCTAATCCAATTGTGTATATATTTCATGGCAGAGGGCAATTTAGGTATTGCATAATATGAAAATGGATGATTTCGTATTGACCAGTATGTACTTGGCAAAGTAAGATGCTATAAACCAAACCAATTTAAGATGTTATATGTTGATCGTAAAACGAAATGAAAAATGTAGAATACTAATCAAAATCATGAATCAAACACAATAATGCAAGTAATCTAGTCAAAGTTCTTCTATAGTATTGATTGAGAAATGGAGCATACAAAGAGACTTTGGTTTTGCTCAACCAGACTAATATTGATGCAGAATGTGAGATTTTTGGGAAGCTTACCTAACAAGCTAAGCTAAAGGCTATATATATATATATATATATATATATATATATTATATATATATATATATATATATATATATATATATATATATATATATAGTGGTTAAATACATCACATGTCAAATAAACTAAGAAACCACTAAACAAGAGATACTCTTTGAAATGTTTTCAAAATAGGCTTCTCAAATGCCAACATCAGGTTCAATATTTTCAACTCAACACTTTAAACCAAACCAAAGCAAGATGCTATAAACCAAACCAAAGAAACATGATATAAACCATATAAACCAAAGAATGATGTTATACACCATATAAATCAAAGTACGATGCTATAGATAATATAAACCAAACCAATTTAAGATGTTATAAATCAAACCAAAGTAACATGTTATAAGCCATATTAACCAAAGTATGATGCTATAAACCATATAAAGTAAAAGTAGGAAGATATAAACCATATAAACCAAAAGTCAGATGCTATAAACCATACCAAATTAAGATGTTATAAACCAAACCAAAAGTAGGATGTTGTAAACCAAAAATATTAGCATAAACTAGATTTCATAAAATATGGGTTCACATTACATAATGTTTGATGTAGCAATCATCCAATTATGCCAAAAAGCCTATCAAACAAACCTACCAAGGCAACATATATGGGAACATTTGACAATTGGATGTTTGTTTCAATTAGTGGAAATAACAAAAAAAATATGAACAAAAATAACGCAACATATGCCAGTGATTAACATCCCACTTCACCCCTTTTCCCAATCCATACCCAACTACTCCAAATCGATAGGTTTAGTAGCACTGGAACTAGTACCATATTTTCCATACATAAGGTTCTTCAACTTAATTTTCAGTATCCTCTCAGAAGGTTTCCTTTTCTTATACACATGTATGTTATTAACTCCTTCATCATCTTCCTCATGCCCATCACCCATACCTTCATCAACTACTTTTTTACATGTTTCATCCCATGTATTCACTCCTTCATCATCAGCTTCATTGCATACATCCACTCATGTATCATCAACTTCATTATATTCTTCATCCCCTATATCCATTCCTTCAACATCAGCTTCATTCCCTGCTTCATTAACTCCATCATCAGTAAACACCTCACCATCATCTGGATATCCTTATTCATCTTCTAGTTCATGTTAAGCCAAAATGTGACATGTATTTACAATGTGGGAAAAATAAAATAAATTGCATTTATGAAGAATAAGTAGGAGATTAATTACCATCTCAACAAGTTCCATTTCATCTAATAACATTGCTATCCCTTTACTACTTTCAATTTCAACTATGGTGTGTCTTGACTCTATTAGCATGGCTACATCTTCTTCATTAAGTTGGATTTCCTTAGGTATGACATCCTCTGGATTACCTTTAATAAACTCAGGTTCATCATCATGAATGTCTATAAGACTTTCATTTATACCAGACTCAACATGATCAAGAATTTGACTAAACTTCTTGTTAGATTGTCCTTTAACAACAACTTCATTTATAACTTAACTGGCCACAACCTCATCAAGCTCTTGTCTAATTTCATTAAAATATTCATTAACATTTCCCTAATTTTGTCCCTCATCCATAGCTTGGTCATTTTTTTTTCATATTGTTGTGTCCATCTTGGTGTCCATCATCCATAGCTTCCTGTCCCTTAGCCATAACTTGTCTAATTTCAACCACATCTTCAACTTCTTGTACCTTATTCTTAACTTCATGTTCCTTATTCACATCATGTCCGTCATCCATAGGTTTTTGTCCCTCACCTACACCTATATGTTCCTTATCTTCTAGACCACCTTCAGCTCTGACTCCACCTATTTTAACATTTATTTTTCTCCTTTTACTAGATGATTGATTTGGATCATTAGCAGTTTTCTAGTCTTGGTTCTACTCTTAATCGTAGAACCAGATGCTTGATTAGGATCCACATTTGGAACTCCTAGACTTGCTTAAGTTATGGAACATTCATGTTCCACTTGATTTTTTTTTCTTGGCCTACCTATCTTTTTTGGTACATATGCTACTCTTGGCCTTGTTTTATCTATACAAAGTTATTTTTTATGTCCAAATTTAAAGCAATTACAATACCTTATAATTCTGGATACATTAACTCTTATAGTAGAAAACTTGATCTCATTTTCACTTACATGCCTTCTCCTTTTGGTGGCAGGTATTCTTGGCATTCTCTTTGCTTTTGGTGGAAATGGATTTTAGAATGGAGTTTGCTCCCACAAATTGTTCCCGTTGATATGTATTATGTTTGTTTGGTAGCATTCAATAAACATGTCTTTTGAAAAGTACTCATTAACATATCCATCATATGTATTTTGGATATAGTTAATGACAACAATTACGTGAACATAAGGGATCC